ATTGGCTATCAATGCACTGATTATAACAATTTTGTACTTTTTAGATAGTACTGAAATTGAAAATTTATTGAAAAAAAAAGAATTCAAAAATTCAAAAAGGAAAGACCCTGACGAAGGTTTGGACGAAGGAAAAAAACACGCTAACATTGCTGTGGATATTATTGAAGGTACTTTTATTTTCAATTATAAAATTCATAATTGTTAAGATCATATTTAGATATTTAAAAAAAAATCTTGTACTTTTTAGAGAGTCCCGAAATTGAACATTTATTGAAAGAAAAGGAATTTACAAATTCTAAAAATAAAGGCTCTGGCGAATTAGATTTCGATGATAGTCAAAAATACGTTAGCTATGCTGTGAATATTATTGAAGGTACTTTTATTTTCAGTTATAAAATATGTAATTGTTAAGATCAGAGTTAGATATTTAAAGACATTTTTATTTCCTACATTAGATACCATAATAAATAACAATGTCCAGCCAACGAACGTGGTGAAATTTAAAAACCAACAGGTGCAACGAAATATAAGTGAAAAAAAAAAGGACAGTAAAAACGTTTCGGCGACGAAACGCAATTATGAATCTTTAATAGATGATGAAGGTGATCGATTTGAATTAATATTTGAAAAAATTGTTGCCTTTTTCCATAAATTATTAAGTAAATTTTTATTCATAATTTATCCGTTTTTGCGCAGAATCATCAAAAGCAACAGAAGAAAGAAAAAAACCTCGCATTATTGAGAAGATAATATTAAAGAAACATAAAATACATATTGAAAGCTCTCAAATTCCAGTTTGCCCTCAGAATAATGCTAAATCCGACGTTAAACTGAATATGCCAATAAGGAAAGTCAGAAAAAATAAAAGAAGAAGGAATAGCGAGAAGAAGAAATTAGAGGAAGCTAGGTCTAATATTTAAAAGGTAATAAGATGTAATCTTATTACTAGTATATAATCTATATATTGGCGGTCGACAATGCTTGCTCAGTAGAATATTTTCCAGGATTCTTAATAAATTATAAAAGAAATTGCCGATTTTTCTTTTCGGAAAGTTTCGAATACAGTTAAGAAAAATTTTTATAATTGTCGTTTTTCTGATTCCATTTTTTTTTTTTTTTTTAATTGCAGAGAACCCTTTTTTGTATATAACGAAATAGTTTTACAAAAATTCTCGCTTGAAAACTGAAAGAGTTGTACTTTAGAATTAAAATGCTTCGGTGAGAAACACTGCAAATTCTCTATTAACCTCAACATTGAAAGTAGTTTGCAGACGTGACCTACAAAGATAGGTTATATTTCCTGCTACTTTTGAGAAGCCTTTTTCCTTCTATTTTCTTTGCTTTGAGCCGAGTTATAGGAACAAAGTGACCTATTGGAAGTATGGTTAACGTGACCTGCCAAAGATAAGGTTATATTGTCCAGTGACTTAGTGTTAGTGCGCTTGTAGTTTTTTTCTGTGAGGTGATCAAACATGAGAGTGACCAACTTAGGTCTGGTTATATCATTATTGAAGCCAAACAATCACTAACTAACACAAAGTACAACTTTTTTAGTATTTAAGTACTGAATTTGGTACATTTATAGCAAAAGCAAAGTCGATTTTCAAAGTTGCTCGCATAATTGTTAAAATAAGTCGAATCAGAATTAAGGCATTTATGAAAAATATACGAGCTACTCAAAGTAATACGGAAAACAACATAAAAATTTCATTTAAAGGCCAATCGGGGATTAGGTATCCAACGGCGTTTTGGAGCTATCGCAATGACCCTTTGATCGATCGAGGATGATTGGGTCATTCAAGCTCTCAGAAAATCACTCGACTAATCGCGAACATTAACAAAAATATTTATAATATCATGAAAGTGACGATATTTCAAAAGGCCAATCGGGGATTAGGTATCTAACGGTGTTTTAGAGCTATCGCAATGACCCTTTGATCGATCGAGGATGATTGGGTCATTCAAGCTCTCAGAAAATCACTCGACTAATCGCGAACATTAATAAAAATATTTATAATATCATGAAAGTGACGATATTTCAAAAGACCAATCGGGGATTAGGTATCCAACGGTGTTTCAGAGCTATCGCAATGACCCTTTGATCGATCGAGGATGATTGGGTCATTCAGGTTCTCAGAATATTGTACAATCAGCGGGTGCGATAGAATAAATGAAGAATTACAATATGTATGTATATTTATTTTTAGTCGTGAAAAAAACAAATAAATTTTTTTTTTTTTATATATTTGTATATTTTAGTTTCACGACACGGCGT